AATGCAACTGTCCTAGTTCAATTTCCTCAGCTTGTAGTTAACTACTTTTCCTTAGTAGCTTGAACTTTATCAAAAAGAGTAGTTCGGCTGTAGTGTAGTTGTTTTAAATCATGAGTAGCTTGTAGCGTTACAAGTTACAATTGTTGTTTTATTATTTTTATTTTATTTCTTGTATTTACACTGAGCTGCCAGTAGTATTAGTTACTAAATCTCTATAAACTGGCAGCTTAGTCTGCTGTATCTTCTTCTTTTTGGTCTTTTACTACTGATTTCATATGCAATAAAGTATCTAAATATACAAGTGCAGAAATAAATACTATATATAGGAAAACAACACAATGTATTATCTTTGGTTATTTCAGTAATAGCGTAGAGGTGATAAGATCTGTCTCTGGTCTGAAAGTCCAACAGTTCATCAGTTCATATTTTCTCTTTTTCAGGGAGCTACAGAACCACCCCCCTGACCCCCTCTCCTCTATCTCTCTCTCTCCCTCTCTCTCTCTCTCTGTCCCTCTGGTGATGGATTGTTCATATTCTCTCCTAATCACTCATGTGTCTCCAGCGCAGCGTGTCTCTGGTCGCTCTGATAAACAGATCAGAGCTCACACTCTAGGATTCTCACGGCTTGATCACATCCCCTCACCCAGTATCTATAAAGATCTGTCTCTCTCTCTCTCTCTCTCTCTCTCTCTCTCTGCCTATCTGTCTGTCTCTCTTTCTGTCTGTCCACCTCTCTGTCTCTCTCTCTGTCTCTCTCTAGTTGTCTGTCTGTCTGTCTCTCAGTCTATCTGTCTGTCTGTCCCTCTCTCTCAGTCTATCTCTCTGTCTGTCTGTCTCTCTGTTTCTTTCTCTATGTATCTTTCTCTTTCTCCTTTGTCTGTCTCTCTCTGTCAGTCTTTATGTTTCTATCTATTAGCTTCTATCTATCTATCTATCTATCTATCTATCTATCTATCTATCTGTCTGTCTGCCTGTCTGTCTCTATCTCTCTTTGTCACACTCTGTCTCTCCCTATCAAGTGATAATGTAGTCCAAAATATGAATATAATAGTATTTGAATGGCTTAAAATACTGTATGTATAGCTACAATAGTATGTGTTATAACCCACTTTCTCAACACTGTCACTGCTATCCTATCATGTGTTTAACACCACTGTTGGACACTTTTTCCTCCCTCCCTCTTGGCGTGGAGTGTGAGCATTCTCTCCTAATCACTCGTTTATTTCCAGGGCTGAGACTCAGGATTGTCAGAATTTCTGACACATGCTGCCACTTCTCAATATTTTCTGTTTTCAAGGCTTTGGAGGATGCTTTTCAGTGGCACGTTAGGATTATACATAAGGAAGAAAACACTTGGGGGCAAAAATAATCCACGCTGGGGTAGTGAGTTAATCGGCACCACCCTGACGTTGAGTCGTTTCCTAAAAATGCACATCCCAAAATGTTTAATTCCTCTCACACCACAGCAATTTTCCAGTCACTTATAATTTCATTAAGTTTACTCATTAATGAACAAGATATTATACTTTTTACCCTTTTATAGTTACATTTAATGATGTGGAACATCTACTTGACAAGTTAGTTTCTGTTTTCATTTTGGAAAATGTACAACTTTACCTCTGAGTCTTACAAAGCGCTGACACTGGAGACATTTACATTTATGGCATTTGGCTGACGCCCTTATCCAGAGCAACTTACAAAAGTGCATTGAAGTCTCTATCAATAAATGCATTCTGATACTGGCTCGCTAGGTCACAAACTAGGAATACAATCAGTCCGAAAACTCTGTTGGGGAGGTAACAGACAAGCGCTCAGACAATACATTTTTTTTTAAGTGCTAATTTAAGTATTTTAGGAAGAGGTAAGTCTTTAGACATCGTGTGAAGATTGCCAGTGACTCAGCTGTTCGGACATCTAGGGGAAGTTCATTCCACCACCTTGGTGCCAGAACAGAGAAGAGTCTTGATGCATGCCTTCCTTGTATCCTGAGAGATGGTGGGACCAGTTGAGCAGTGCTAGAGGATCGTAGGGAGCATGGTGCAGTGCGGGATGTGATAAGTGCTTTGAGATAAGTGGGTGCTGGTCCGTTTTTGGCTTTGTAGGCAAGCATCAGTGTTTTAAATCAACAGGAAGCCAGTGGAGGGAGCGTAGCAATGGGGTGGTGTGGGAGAACTTAGGAAGGTTGAAAACCAGTCATGCTGGATCAGTTCCAGAGGACGAACGGCGCTCAGAGGCAGACCTGCCAGGAGTGAGTTGCAGTCTTGAAATGACAAGGGACTGAACAAGTACCTGTGTGGCCTGTGTGGAAAGGAATGGATGAATTCTTCTGATGTTATAAAGGAGAAATCGACATGAGCGTGTCAGATTAGCAAAGTTAGAGGAAAAGCACAGTTGATTGTCCATGGTTACTCCAAGGTTGCATGCAGTAACCGAAGGTGAGATCAGAGAGTTGTCTAGGGAGACTGCAAGATCCTGAGATGGGGATGAATCACCTGGGATGAACAGCAGTTCAGTTTTGCTGCTATTTCAGTTTTAGCTGATGAGCTGTCATCCATGATAAGATGTCTGCCAGACATGCTGATATCCGAGCAGAAACATGAGTGTCTGAGGGAGGAAAGGAAAGGATGAGTTGAGTGTCATCTGCATAGCAGTGGTATGAAAACCCATATGAGGATATGACCGCACCAAGGGATCGAGTATAGAGGGAGAACAGGAGAGGTCCAACTACTAAGTCTTGTGGGACACCAGTGGATAGTCTGCGGGGAGCAGATGTGGATCCCCTCCATGTCATCTGATATGACCGACCTTCCAGGTAGGAAGCAAACCATTGCCATGCTGCACCACGAATTCCTAGGCTCATGAGGGTGGACAACAGAGCCTTGTGGTTCACTGTGTCAAACGCTGCTGACAGGTCAAGGAGGATGAGGACTGAGGACAGTTTGGCTGATCTAGCAGCATGTAGTTTCTCAGTAACGGCCAAAAGGGCAGTCTCTATGGAGTGTGCTGGTTTGAAGCCAGACTGGTTGGGATCTTGGAGGTTGTTCTGTGAGAGATAGAGAGACAGCTGATTGTAGACAGTTCATTCAAGGGTTTTAGAAAGAAAAGAGAGAAGTGATACCAGTCAGTAGTTGCTGATGTCAGCGGGATCCAGAGTGGGTTTCTTCAGGATGGGAATAACCCTTGCTCTCTTGAATGAGGTTGGTACATGACCAGATGTTATGGAGCCATTGATGATAGTGGTGATGAAGGGGAGGAGGTCTTGAGAGATGGTCTGGAGCATTGTGGAAGGGATTGGATCCAATGGGCAGGAGGTAGGATTGCAGGACAAGATGATTTGCAGGATCTCTCTGTTGCTAGTCCTTCCAAAGATATTAAATAAACATCACCTTACACAGGAGTCTCCTTCATCTTAGATTATGTTTATTAGAACGAGTGTGTTAATATAAACCTGTGATTTGATTTGCAGATGCACTATTGTCAGAGCTGTTGTTATACAAAATTAATCAACACCTTCTGACCAATCAGAATTGAAAATTCAACAGCACTGTGGCATAAAATATTTATGCAATAATTATCCAGCTCTGAGCCAATGCAGATCCACTAAGTACATCTGTTGCAATTTATCCAGAGTTAAGAGCTATTCTTTCTATCCTTTTTCAATTTACAGACACATTGGGCTTTTTTTCTTCTTTTTTGTCTAATTAACAGATCCGAGCTGATATGTTTGACCTCACTTGGTTAGCAGTAATACAGCAGTAATAAAGTTTCTCATCTTCAGCTGCTTCTCCATCTTTAAACAGATCTAATTTGAGACGTTGGTGTTGCTGTACAGAGCTAATCCGCTAATACATATTTATTCGTGGCCCTTTAGAACCGTCTCGCTCACTTCTCTTCAGATAGATTCTTAGCATTCTCCGCTAATCGCTCATTCTTCTCTGGCATGGTGTGGACTGAGCAGCTCTGATCAATATGTCCCCAGTGAGTTTAATAATAGAAACGTATTACATGTTCCATGTGATACTGTATATGCAGTAAGACTAACGTGTGTAACTTATCCTGTGTGTGAGCTGATTTGAGCCAGGACTCTGCTGTAGCTGTAATAAGTTCGTGTGTTATGAGGTTTAACTGCTCTGAGTCTTTCACACTGACGAATGCTGTATGAGCTTTTCTCCTCTCTGTGTATTCAGATCAAGTGTTAGTGTTCTCTTCTAATCACTCTGTGTCTCTCGCATGGGGTGTGTGTGCGTGTGTGTGCGTGTGTGTGTTCTCTCCTTCTCTCTCTGTGTCTGTGTCTCTCTCTATGTCTCTCTGCCTGTCTGTCTGTCTGTCTCTCTCTGTTTCTTTCTCTATGTATCTCTCTCTTTATCTTTTTTCTCTTTCTCTCAGCCTTTATCTATCTATCTATCTATCTATCTATCTATCTATCTAATCTGTCTCGCTGTGCCTCTATCTATCTATCTATCTATCTATCTATCTATCTATTTATCTATCTATCTATCTAACAGTCTTATGTTTTAAGTCTTATGTCAGAAAAAAATCTGTCACTTGACTCAGGTGTTGATTACAGCACTGAGTAAAGCAGTCATTATGCTGGCTGTGACTTACTGGAATAAGCTTTAATAAATGGTAATGTAGCTTTATGTCATTTGTCAAAAGGGTTTATGAGCCCTATCCTTAGGTAATGTCTTACTGAACAATAAGGCTTATTAAGACTAACTGAATAATAAGCCTTTACAGTAACGTCTCTCCTGATCAACCATCTGTGTCCAGCTCAGCGTGTCTCTGGTCGCTCTGATACACAGATCTGAGGAGAGACTCTTAGTCAGAATTTTGTCCTCCATTGTGACCAGTTATAAGATGATAACATGTATAAAGATGCATACTTTATCTTTCAGCTTCAGCAGCTATTGTACTGTGATACATGATGTTTCATGAGTGTTCGTATTTGCTTTCCCTCTCTCTCCCCCTCTCCCCCTCTCCCCCCCTCCCCATTACTGGGGGCAGTCGTGGCCTAATGGATAGAGAGTCGGACTTGTAACCTGAAGGTGAACCTGAAGGTCGTGGGTTCGAGTCCGGCAGGGATTGTAGGTGGGGTGAGTGAATGACCAGCGCTCTCTTCCACCCTCAATACCACAACTGAGGTGAGACCCTTGAGCAAGGCACCGAACCCCCAACTGCTCCCCAGGCGCCACAGCAAAAAAGGCTGCCCACTGCTCCGGGTGTGTGTTCACGGTGTGTGTGCACTTGGATGGGTTAAATGCAGAGCACAAATTCTGAGTATGGGTCATCATACTTGGCCACAAGTCACTTCACTTCACTGAGGATGGATTGTTAGCATTCCCTCCTAATCACTATAATTTCTCCAGTACGGTACAGTATGTACTCCAATAACTCGCGCTGAGACCTTGGGACTCTCCCAGTTTTGGCTGTTGGTCAGATGTTAGCGTGCTATGTAGGTTTTTAATTTCAGGTCCTTTGCAGCTTGGGTTCTGTAATTTCAGAGGCAAATTCTGATTGTGCTGTGCTTGAGGAGGTGTCACAGTCTCCAGTCTCCAATCTCTGTGATTGGATCGTGCTGTTATTAAAAGCCTTGTCAGTAATTGAATGAGAATAATACCAAATGACTTGTTCAGTTACAGAGCAATGCTCTTTTCCAGCGGTCTTCTCAGATCATTTCTGTTGAGAAGCACAAAAAAACTTAAAACTATTAATTAATTAATTTTCATTTTATATTGATTAAATATTAATTAATTCCACATTTTTTTACTTAGTATCTCATGGCTTCATGAAATACTTCAATTAAATCTAAATTTGCAGTGATTATTCATGCTGCAATGTTTTAGGGATATACTAGACTCCTTTTAGATTGATCTCAATGCCATCTTCTCATTCATATATCATAATATTAGTGGGGGTTTTTTTCTTCATTTTTGTCTCTTGCTATGTTGTTGATTCCTTCTTCAAAGATGTTGTATCCTTCTTCAGTCTGCATTTTGTATCCCTGATTTTTGTTTGTGTTTAAAAGCAGTGATCTAGACACTTATTTTAAAAAAAGTCTCAGACTCTTCTACTCAAAGTTGTGAACTACACACAAGGTGATTTTAGTGATTTGAATGAAGAGCCCAGAAAATCAACTTACGTAAGCAGGTACATAACCTGACTCTGAATACCAGGAACTTTCCCTGCACAAACATTTACTCTGAATACGGCCCTCTGTGCTAATTTTAGTTTGTTTGCAAGATCATGTGCTACTCATTGCTATTTGTGAAATTTTTGTTACACATAAAAACATCATTATTGAATCAAGAAGAGAAAAATATACTCTAATACATGATGTTACTAATCTGCTGGAGATCCTTTAATAGTATCTCACAGTCTGAGCTGTTGAGTTTGATTTTGCTGATGTTTTCAAACTCATACATCATGGTTACATGCTGTCACCCTTAGAAAGACATTTGGCTGCAGACAGAGCTGATAGTAGCAAACTAGCCAGCTAATGTTAGCTAATTAACTAAAAGCCAGAGAAATTGATGAGGGGTTGATGATAAGGAGAAAGACATGATAAGGAGAAGATAAATAGGGTAATTAAAAAAAAACAGCAGAAGTGAACTGATGTGTGAGTTTTGCTCTCTACTCAGGATTTTATCCAGGTAGCTAATGTTAGTTAGCTTGCTTGGTAACATCCTATGCTGTTGAAAGCAAAAAAAAAAAAAAATCACACAAACACACTGTGAGAGATCACAGCAGAGCAGCCTTTTCCTTTCAACAACAGGTTGTGTTTTAGTCAGCTAGCAAATGTTAGCTTGCTCTTTGGATTCTGTGCCCTGTTAGCGATCACCTCAAGGCCAGAGCTCACAAGCTAAATGGCTAACTCTAGCTAAAAAAGCAGGCTCTTGTGGAAGATGAGAGGTTTTGCTCTTGTACTTGGTATTCAATAACCGGGACAGTTATGGTGACACTATGACATTTTTATTCTCGCTATATTTCTGTATTACTGAGGAGACGATGATGATGTTAGCTATCTAGCTAGTATTCTATAATTACATCAAATATTTATCCCTTCTGAATACTATCAGTATGTCAGTACCCTAATGCTTATTCTGTAGCATGTGGTTTGGGACACAGCCTTATTCTGTATGTGTATCCTTACGTTTCGTGTGATGTCATGCTGTATAATGGCGGCCATTTTGAGGACTGAATAGTGGACTGACTGCATCAGTGTTAATGTGTCTGTGTTTCATTAAGAAGATTTATTTCAACCTGCCTCGCAGCTATGTTAGCTACGTATCTACGTTATGGGAAGTTTATCTCAGGTTGTAAGTTTTGCTAACATTAGCAAAAGCTAGTTAGTTAGCTGATATCGACGTACTCTCCCTATAATGACAGAGATTTTTATCCTCTTGATGAATACTTTACCCACCTGGATATGAAGACACGCTCGGCTTCTGTGCTCTGAATGTTTTGAGGCTCTCCGGAACAGAGAAAGAGGTTGTGTATAAGATAAATATATATGACAAAAACACAAATTTGGTTTTCTGTGGATTCTGCAGGTCAGGGGATTGTACACAAGGATCTAATCTATCTATTTCACTTCTAGTTACATTCCCATTGTGAAGCGCAAAATGTTTCAAAATATTCTTCCATATGACGCATGCAATAGCATTTTTCTACCAGAGAGGGCACAATTCCATAATTTTACACCAAAAGCTTAAATTAAAGGAAGACGTTTAATGTGCAATATGTATTTAATAAGAATTTAATACGTAAGGAAGGAATTTAATATGTAACTAACATTATATGTGTCATTATAAAAAAAAAAAATTCTCAATCCTTAACAATAAACAGAGCTGTAATGCTCAAACCCTAATTTAGCCAACAGCATCTCTTGTGTACAAAAATCAGCTTAATAAAGCCTTAAAATTCCTTTCATTTCCTTTGAAAGCATCTGTTCAAACCCTGATTAAGTTAGCATGGTCTCACTGTAGCTTATCTACTGGTTTTACATTTAAAAAAAGCCCAGAAAGAGCCAGAATGAAGGCCATATACCAGCTGATAAAATTCTCCACCCACCTGTCCCTGTGGTAAGATGGTAAATGAGGTGTGCACATTTTTTATGCCAAACAGGAAATGAAACTCTTCAGAGAAGCACATTTTTTCTCTCTCTCTCTCTCTCTCCTTCTCTTTCTTTCTTTCTTTCTCTGAATTACAGTATTGCTGAAGCATATAAATCTACAGACGGGTGACAAAAAAATGCTATGAGGGGCATTTATTTATTTTATTTACATATTTATTTTGCTGACATGATTTGCAGCACTGCAAATGAATCCAAAGTTCTTCTGACTGATCATCTTTACCCAGTGAAGAAACTTTTCTGCCCTGATGGTCGTGGTCTCCTCCAGGATGACTCCGCCCCAATGATTTCAGGTTTTTTTTAAATTATTGAAGAACAACATATCATTCTTTGTATACATATATAGTTACAGTTGATGATGTGTAACATCCATGAAACAAGTCAGTTCCTCTTCTCACTTACGTTATATCAGCTATAAACAGTCACTCTCTTCTTCCTTTCTTTTTAAGACAAAATAATGCAGTTTGTCATGTTACAAAGAAACAGCTGTTTTTTTTTTAATCTGTTTATGTGGAGGGTCTGCTTTACAAGTCCCTGTGTAAGTTCTTAGTATAAGAACACACCTAACACAATGATAATGTGTTAGAACGAGTGCTTTAATATAAACCTGTGACTTGTCTTTTGGTCAGAAGTACTGTCGAAGCTGCTGTTAACAGCAGACAGTGGTTCTGGCTGCGAGCTTTATTTTACCTGGTTGCATTAATTTGCAAATATGAACGCTATCTTCGAAATGACTTTCAGGCTGTAGTCCAGGCTGTAGTCTATCACACTGCTTGTACAAAGTTAATCGACTTATATTGACTCAGCCTTGTATTTTGCACTTTTCACAGCAGAAACGCCCCATATTCATTCGATATTCAATCTTCATTAGGGAAAACGCTCAAAATAAATAAGTCATGTTGTTTTGCTCATGTAAAATATGCAATCCTTCATAGACCCCTCCATTTTTTTTTACACACACACACACACACAGTCCTTTAGATTAGGACCTGAGTGTTGAAGTGAAAACAGTCATTTTGGCACGCTTATTAGAAAGTTAACTTGATGTATGCATTATGTTTTACATCTCTTTAACCATGTAATGATCATATGATATAAAATCTTCTTCATATTGTAGCATCACACCTTTTTCCTTACTCTATTATCAAATTTTTTGAAAATGCAGCAAATGGCAAGGGAATGGTGTTTATTTTTGTATTGGGGTTTTTTTGGGGGAAATTATATCTTAGATATATTTATATTTTTGACTGTGAAGAAAGAGGTGCATATATTTCTCTCTCTCTGTCTCTCTGTCTCTCTCTCTCTCTCTCTCCCTCCCCATCTGCACGTGTGTGTCTCTGGTGAATGTGAAGCAGACAGATAGCATGAGACAAGAATACTGGTGCTATAAATACAGTTATAAATAACTTCGCACACACACAGATGATAGGCATGAGGTAGTGGGGCGAGTGATCATGGGTGCAGCAGGTGAGAAAATAAACACTTATTCTTCTTGCCATACACATTACAGTAACATACACCCAAAAACAGTTTACTTATATGTACACACACACACACACACTTTTAAATCGCCAGGATTTTCTGCACGCAGTGCATGTTAGTTAAGGATGGGGCGGCTCAGCCAATAAGCAGGCCATCACTCTAACTGTGAGTTAATTGGCACAAACACACACACACACACACACACACACACAATCCTGCAACGTTGCTTTTAATCAGATGAGCTGCTCTCAGCACTGTGTCTATACTACGCCTCTTTTTCAGCCCACTCTGTATGCTGGGGCACAGTGATGCTCTGCTCCTCCACTCACACACTTTCTCAGCTACCCACACACACACACATATACACACACACACACTCTCATACACCTACATATAGCCCTAGTTTTTCAGCTCGCTGCACCCACGCATGTGAGTAAAGTTCTTGCATGAGACTCAATGTGCCTGTCGATAAAC